AATATTAAATAATGTAATAGTATATAATTTTTACTGTTTTGAAATTACACTGAACCATGGTCTCGAAACGTCTGTAATTATTAAATAAAGTGTGTGTTAAAAATCTGGGTGTTGTATTGTTCATATTTAACTTCAATAATAACGTTCAATAATATTTAATCACAAAAGTCTATAATATAATATAATATATATAGGTATATATATATATATTATATATATATATATATAATATTTCCTTGATCGATTAATGGATTTAGTAAACATGTGTCGCACTTTTATGAATAATGTAATTGATGTAATCGGTCAATGGTTTCCATGATTTATGTTTTATAGAATAATACAAATGCGATATATAAATAATTGTTATAAATAATTTATAAAATACTTATTAAAAAGTTGAATTGAAATTTTCTAAATACTTCAATTTATCATTTACATTTATCATTTACAAATAAACTATAGAAATCAATGTTTTATTATAAATTCATGTTTTTCTCGTTCTCTTAAATAATTCTCTACTTAAAATTTTTCATAAGGACACTGGTATGTATAATGCATTAACAATTTTAAAACATTTGCAGCTAATATTATTTAACACTATCAAAATGTTGGTTGTCATGATTTAAAGTTACAGTAGTTTTATGAGACAAAATATAAAAATAATCAACTAGAGTATCCAATAATAATTCACTCTAGTTGATTATTTTTATTCGACGATATTAGTAAGTAAAAAAGTAGGAAAATTTTATCCAAGATTATGCCAAGATTCTGACTCGATTTTGAAATTTTAAAAATCGTTAGAAATCGAAAGACATTATTTGGATATTGTGTCACCGAGTCACCAAGTTTCATAAAATAGCATTTAAATTTTTGAAGTTGGTTCAAATTTCAGTTCACATATACATATTTTTTTTAATTTTCAAGAAAGCATAAAATTAACAAGTCTAATTTTCCGGCAAAAACATCAACTACTCGTTCGGGGAATAAAAAATTTGTAAAAGAAATTCTTAAATATGAACTTCATTCACATTTAGATAAATATCAATTTTTTTTACAAATTATTAATGTGTACTTATGTACGGTTATATTTTGGCAACACTGATTTATATTATATATATATATATATATATATATATGAATTATAATACAAGAACCATGCGCAATTTTTCCAAACCACGCCTTGTCCAGGAAAATTTCCATTCTCATTGGCAGCAGCCATCATGATCATTTTTCTATTTTCCACGCAGTTATAATTTTGTCTTTAGAACATAAGGACATACTTCAGCCAAATTGTTATATAAAAAACGACATTAAAATTTTCAAGTTTATAACCAAGTGCTGCAAAATTATTAAAATAGATCCATATAGAATGAATAAAAAAAATATTGAACTTGAAACCATATTAAGAATATAACAAACCAAAAGTCTATAAATTATATAATTCAAAACGGGGGTTGAAAATTATAATATTTTTTGGTGAACAATGTGTAAACGAAGAAAAAAATAATACTAAAATTTATTAATAGATATTGTTATATAATTTAAAATAAGTATCTGAGAAAGTCAATTTGAATAGTTAGTACAAAAAATAAAGTGATATTGCAAACAAGTGATATA